CGACCTTGGACGTCGACGCGCCGTACAAACCAACCGACGAGCGGCAACTGAGCGAGCGAGCGCCGACCTTGAGTATATATACAGCTCGACGGCGCATGCACTGTCAGCTGTTGAATGTTCTCGAAGCGCGACGCCACATGCGCGTCCACTGGAGAATCAGGAGAATTGTAGATGTCGAACGCGGTGTGTAGAGGAGGAAGGGTGCACAGATGGTGGAGGAGTGAAGCACGCGCGGTGTGTAGAGGAGGAAGGGATGCACAGGTGGTGGAAGAGTGGGCGACGGCGCGACGGCGCATGCGCGCGCGTCAGCTGTCGAATGTTCGAGAAGCGGTGCGGACGGCGCGGACGGCACACTACAAGGCGCGAGTATAAGATGCTTCCGCATCTAAAAGGCAAAGCTCGACTACTCACCAACTGCCCACCACAGTGCTGCGAAGCGGAGAATGCTGCAAGGACATGCATGCTGCCCAAATGGCTCCCCGAGATCGTGCACAAAACGACAGGCGCATGGGGCAGGCCAGACAGTGAAACGAACGTCGCAGCGAAAAGGACGCGCGCGAAAAGGACGCGCGCGAAAAGGAGCGAAAAGGACGCGCGGCCTGCAGACCGCACACGTCCGCGTTGCAGCCCTTCAGCGCTTGCATTTTTGACCCGACGCTGCGTCCTCTTCCTAGGACACGTCAGGCGAGCGCAGCTTCTCGCAGCCGCGCACCCTCGCCTTTTATGTGCGGACGTTTGGTCAGGCCTTCAGGGGAACTTTCTCTACCTTTCTCGCCTAAATGTGCCACGTCCATGCAGTTTATTGTTACCTTGTTGCGCACTGCTTAAATGACGGACACTTGGGATTAAGTGCTATAGATGGACACAAGCGCAAACTTTCAACTGAGTTTATTGGACAAATACATGATGCGTTTATGCAATCATGTTTCATGGTTACAAAAAAGGTTTACAAAAATGAATCCCAAAAAAACCTCGGCATGACTAGTCATTTGAACTGTTCTGTATATTTTTGTGATTCATTTTTTGTAAACCTTTTTTGTATAATCATGAAACGCGATTTAATAAAAGCATCACGTGTCTGTCCAATAAACTCTGGTGAAACTTTGCGCTTGTGTGCGTCTATAGCACTTAATCCCGAGTGTTCGTCTTTTAAGCAGTGCGCAACAAGCTAACAATGCATAGCTAACAACTCGCTCAAGCAAGTACCCTTCTAACCCCCGTATTCCAGAACGCCCCTTCACTCAAAGTTTTACCTTCACTTAAGAAAGCCGATGAAAGCGCCCTCCCTAGGCACGGCAAATCACTACATATTAGCAATAATGTGTGCAATTCGTGAGCAGCGCAGCTTCATTTCCAGCCGAGCAGTGGCGCAGTGCTCAACTTAGTCAAGTGAAGGGTCGAGTCAAGGAGCGTTTGTGAATACGGGGGTAAGTCTGCCTTCGTCAGTCTCTGCATCTCTCGGTGTAAGGGGGCGCTTAAACCTGATAAACCAGCGAAAAACACCAGAACTGCATCTTTTTGCTCCACGTGGAGTGATATCGGCATCTTTTGTGTTATGTACAAATGTTATACATTCCCACCGCAAATCCAAAACATACCATCACGCGGCATTCACGCCTCGTAGTGTGTTACATTTCGTTTGCGTTTTCACGAGCCGGTTTAATTTTTCAATTCGAATAGTGTTTTCATATGTGTTGACCACACCATCGTATCTTCACACTTATCTACGGCGTCACGGTGGAATAATGAGCATGGCTTCGACATATATGGTGCGTAGGTTCTGCACTGACGAAATATCGAACCTGCCCATCATGACTATTCGTTACACCAGTCTGCTCTCCAGTCGTAGATCCTGATCCACTGTCTTCGACAATGCGCGTAAACTCAATGTTGTGTGCTGTATATTTTGCAAAAGTAAGACACGGCACAATAGCAGACACAGCCGATAACACGTCGGGCGACGTTCCGTATACGTTTTAACGTGTCCCAGTGGCCCTGTCTTGCCACGGCCGCACTAGACCGCACCTGCGAGAGAGCGCACATGGCCGTGGGTCCTGCGAGGACTTTTTCGGCCAACTCGTTCAGCGGCGCCACGTGTGCGTTTTTGACGCGCCACCTGGGCAGGACTGGTTTTCTATAGTATCGAAGTCATACGAAAATTATTTACGTGATAAGTATAGGGGCAAATCGGCTGTTGGAAAAATGAGAGCGCGGAATGAGAGAATAAACATGCAGCTCAGATTGCATCGGGCACCGAGAACAGTTCACTTTTTGTTGTGCTTTTTTCTTTATTTATTTTTTTATTTTGAGCTAAACCATTGAGCGCTTTCGGCGGTCAAAGCGGTTTTTGCATGCGCGCAGTGACACACAATGGTTTTAAATGAAAGAAAGTGACGTCATTAGAGCGGCGCGCAGGCTCAGATGTGACTTATTTACGGCTGCAGATGTCACTCATGCGGTTCTGAAGGTGACTTTCCATCGTTTAAGACGTGAGTGTTACCGCTGTAAATTCTAGTTAGTACAGCTGAACTAACTTTTTTCTGAATGACATTCCCTTAAGGAACGCAGGAGAGGCGCATTCACACGAACCTTGGCGCGAACGCAGCAGATCTGAAGTTTCCTATTTCTGCTTAATTCCGATCAAGTGGCTGTGTGATTTAAAACGCCACCACGGTGGTCTAGTGGCGAAGATACTCGGCTGCTGACCCGCAGGTCACTGGATCAAATACCGGCTGCGGCAGCTGCATTTTCGATGGAGGCGAAAATGCTGTAGGCCAGTGTGCTTAAATTTAAGTGCAAGTTAAAGTATCCCAGGCGGTCGAAATTTCCGGAGCCCTCCACTACAGCGTCTCATAATAATTTTGGGACGTTAAACCCCACATATCAATCAATCAAACAATCCAATTAATGTAAAAAAGTCCGTTTCGCCAAGAAGGCTAACTACTTAATGCTATATCAATGCTGACCCGCAGGTCGTGGGTTCAAATCCCGGCAGCGGCGGCTGCATTTCCGATGGAGGCGGAAATGTTGTAGGCCCGTGTGCTCAGCTTTGGGTGCACGTTAAAGAACCCCAGGTGGTCGCAATTTCCGGAGCCCTCCACTACGGCGTCTCTCATAATCATATAGTGGTTTTGGGACGTTAAACCCCACATATCTATCTTAATGCTATAGCAAGATATTCGAACGTAGCTTAACGAAACGCTCGAGTAAATTATCGCGGCTGCTGCGTCGAAAAAAAAGACCTCTGCACGGCGATAGCTGTCGCTGCGACACAAACTGAGCACAAGCCTTCTGCGAATTTTTCAAAGATAAAGCGAGCGCGATCGCTTCTGGCTGCTCTAAATATGAAGTTGCATCCAAACTCACGCACCAACCCTACCCCCCCCCCCTTTTTTTTTTACTCGGGGAATCATGCGTTTTGCGCGGCAGAGTAAGGCTGGCACGTTTCCTCCCCGCGATCGACGGCTGGCTGGCTGGCCTCGCATGCTATCGCACATATCACACGCGCATGATGCGTGGGTGATGTTATCGCCCTTTTACTTTATACGAAGCCTCACAGCGACGGCAAAATTGTGCCTGAAGTGTCCATACATTTGCTATAACAGTAAATATTTGCTCGAATAATGTCTCGGGCTGCTCTCACTACTGACAATCCGTTCAACAGCGGTGGCATCGTGAGGACGATACGTTTTCACTGTACCTTGATGAGATACAGCTGTCTCTTTTTCTCAAAGACAAGAATTTAGGCTACCGTCTGAAATACGTGAACAAACACGCGCAGAAATTGATTGATATGTGGGGTTTAACGTCTCAAAACCACTATATGATTATGATAGACGCCGTAGTGGAGGGCTCCGGAAATTTAGACCACCTGGGGTTCTTTAACGTGCACCCAAATCTGAGCACACGGGCCTACAACATTTCCGCCTCCATCGGAAATGCAGCCGCCGCAGCCGGGATTCGAACCCGCGCCCTGCGGGTCAGCAGCCGAGTACCTTAGCCACTAGACCACCGCGGCGGGGCTGCAGAAATTCGAACAGTCCCTTACTTGGCGTTTCAATAAGAAAGACAAGAATGCACCCTTAGATGTATTTGTCGTTGGGCTGCCACGCAGTGCAGAAGTGACGCCGAAGAGCTGAAGAAATCAATGACATGTAATCACCACATACCTCAGTCGTATACATACAAATTGTAAACGACGCCTGTTTGAGAGGACACAGTGCAGCCACGCACGTTTCTTTAGCGACTCTTTATATGCTCTGAGTTGCTGAGAGGCGAGTGGCCTGAAGTGCACTCATTTACGCAAACGTATTATACTTATGAGTGGCTAAATCCTCCCACACTTCGCTAACAGCCTAAGATTCAGAATTTAAGACAGATCGACGTGAATATATAGCCTAGACAAAGTTATCCTCGCACTCAACAATCATTTTTCAAGGTATGTGCAGACCACTGCAGCATCACCACTGGTGCAGTTCCGAAATCTTTCTGAAAGGCTATATGTCGTCCACATTGGCATATCTCACACTTATCTACGGCATCACAGTGGAATAATGAGCTTGGCTTCGACATGCAGTGTGTATGAACGCATAGCGAACTGCCATATACGATCTAACGTTTGACTTTCTGCCACGTTCGAAAACGTTGCCGTTTCCTTGGCATTCATTATTTATTATTATTAATTAATCTCTTAAAATTTGTTTTTGCAAGCTACAGTTAGTAGTCAGACGTTTGCCCGCTATTTCTTGCTCATGTCCTTGCCCCTCTCACTTATAACTACATTCTACAAAGACAAGGCGAATAAGCGGTGACATAATTGAGCATATTCTCTCCCCTAAATGGGAGAAGGCGTGTCAGGGATTGGCTATACAGTGAGCGCGCAAAATAAATCACAAGAAACATGCGATTTCATATTGCCGACGAGCTAACGCCCACGTTTCACGTAGTAACTCTTACGAGAGCATTGAAAAACGGCCTGCAAGACGTTTTCACGAGATCTATAGTGGAGCGACGGTGTACCTGTTAATAACTGCTACAAGTTGTTCGATTAGAAAGTGCGTATTTCGCAGTCGTGCCTCAGTTCATGTCCACTGGAAATTAACTTTTCACACACCGCGAGCACGTCTTCAGGCTACGCCGAAGCGCACAGAGGTGCACGACTGAGCTTCTCGGTGCATTCCGCACTCAGTCGAAGAAGCTGTCTTCATCGTCGTGCTTTTGGCCCTTCAATATCTTTGGTTCCGAGTACATGTCGAGACCCAGGACTGAAACGAGCAAATGCGACACCACAGAAGTTTGAATACTGTATTCAACATCTGCATAGACTTACATATGCACGGTGTTCAGCTACTTCGCAACATAGACAACAGAAAAGAATAAATGAACTCACCCTTCCGCGAAATAAGTGAAGGCACATCATGTTTGACCTTGGCGCTGATGAGATTCCTAGAGACAAGAAAATGCAACAAAGGTCAAGTAATGCTTTTTTTTTTTCATATGGTAAATCAAACATAGGGCCCTAGTGTAAAGCAGCTAAATGTACAGCATGATTTAGAAATTGATGCTTGACGCGACATCACGAGAGTAAAAGAAAAGAAAAACAACCTGTTGTATTACCGATCGTAAAACAGCCGCGCATAAAACACGGCGCTGAAGTTTCACTGAGCGTAGCTTCTCATTTCTTCGGGGGCGTGCAACGTCCTATACTATTATTGCAAATGCGTTCGGCGAAAACCCGGCCACCTAGTGGCGGAAGGGTTAAGAAAGGAAAAGAAGACAACCACCTTGTAGCACGAAGCCACGAGAAAATCCGTATGTTTTTTTTTTTTTCAGAAAGGAAAGCATTTTATTTGCCGGAAAAGTCGTCCAGGTCCGCGGTACCAACCTTCTGGAGTGGTTGCTCTGCCATTTAACTAACTAGCAGCTGCCATATATATATATATATATATATATATATATATATATATATAGACCACTTGAATGAAGCTGTTTTTTCCACTTATGTTTGTTGTTTATGCATACACGGGCATGGTAATTTTGTTAATTACGGGAACACATTCACTCTTAGATGCACTTTTTTATAGTCTATAGATCATAAGAGATAAAGTGCGAATTCTACATGAAGTAAAAAAAAATTGGACAAACTAATTTATATCCAGAGCCGGGAGATTCTAAAGCTTAAGGCAAAGACATCCGAGGAAGCACTCACTGTATGTTGACCGCGGTCACGTCATACTCCGGAGGGGAGCTACCATTGCTGCCAGCTTTGGAATCCTCGAGCTCTTCGGGACTCCTTTTATACCTTGGATGGGTGCAGTGAAAGAGTGCACTGTGTCACGGTGGTGCATGCGGTGCAATTAAACCGTAGAGTTTCCTATAAATACGCTGGAGGTGACTGTGGCGCTAGTGTCTCTTGGGGGGGGGGGGGGGGAGTTAGAAAAAGTGGGTAACGATTTAGAGTACCAGGTACTCTACTATGTGATGCGACACCGCTGAGTTGTTATTTCTAACGGCGGGTTGCCCCTGCAGGACACGGTGCTTCAGCCAGCACGGGAATGATGTGCATTTCACGAATTCGTCTTCGTTCTTTCGGCTCTGCTTGGCCGCGCGTGTCCTGAATCCGCTTTGCCGCAGGACAAACTTCAGCAAAAGTTCGGCAGTTCCGCTTCGTCACCTTGGCCCTCTGACGCTCATCAATGCCAATCGGCTAGCTAACTTCACAACGGTCCGTTCTTTTGCACGAAACAAAAGCAAAACACGAAATAAACAAAGCCACGAGTGAGTTCGAAGCCCACAAGCAGCAAGACTAGGCGAATCTATGTTACCCATCATTCCCATGGTTTCTGAACGATCATAGCGCCATAGTCCCCTCCAGATAATTTTAGGAAACTCTATGCGTTAAACAACTGATACTTGGCACTGTCGCCTGTGTTCGAGCATCAGCTATGTGCAAGAGTGTGCATTGGTAAGAGAAGCTAAATTACTACATGCAATTTCACACGGAGAAAAGATCTATCTGCCAGTTTGAACAATCCTGGGCTTTCTTACTCTGTTCATTATAGTTAATATTGTGATTCAACAAGAAAATGAGACCTTAATATTCCTCTTACATCGGTTATAGCGACAAATGTACAAGTGTTTTTCAATTGCATGACACTTGCAACTTAAGCGTGTTGGTACGGATTCATCTTGATTTTAACAGCGCACTGGAGAACGAGTACAAGAAGAAAAGTAAGGGCACAACACGGGCGCTGACTCGCAACCAGTCCTCGTTCTCCAGTTCGCTGTTCAAGTCAAGATGTTTTTTTCTCATTTTTTTTTGCCTTTGCACTATTGTTACCGTATATGCTAAAGGTAGCATATACAGTACCTCTATTTTACACTGCCCAGCAGCGCCACTGAGGAGACACTCAACTGAATCTATAATAACCGTAGGCCCCTTTCATTTTGTTTCCAAACTATGCTTACGCTTACTTGATGATGGAACGTGCTTAACTGTGTAGGACGAAATGGAGGCTGAACTTGACGCTCAGAATTGTAGGTCTAAACCACAAGTATCTCAGTGTTACGTCAACAGTTTAGACTTTCTTATCCAATTTAGTCCAGCATAGAGCAAGAGCGTTCAATCTGGAGTACGTAAATAATACAGAGGGTGTCCCACATAACTTGAACCAAGAATTTGAAAATGAAAGACGCTTCAGTGGCGAATTGAACCAAATGCGCAATACTCGCACTAGCCTTTAGGTACTCAGGCTATTTTTTATTTCTCCCCATACAAATTTTTAATTACCTGTTTTTAATTATGCGCTGGAAACCCAAAATATGAACACTGATGTGTAGAGCGATTTCAGAGACCACCGAAAAAAAAAATGTTTCCTGTACGATACGGCTAGCACTGTTATTTTTTCCGCGTTGTAAAGAAAGCCTATAGCAGCGCTATAGAAGTGCGCTAGCGGTCTGTCACACGGCTTCTTTTCACGTTTCGCGGGCTTTCTTTACAACGTGGAAAAATAACAGCGCGAGACGTATCGTACAGGAAACAATTAAGTCGGTGATTTCTGAAAGTTCTCTACATCTCAGTGTTCATATTTTGGATTTCCAGTTCATATTTTAAAATTAGGTAATTAATAAGTTAATTAATTAGTATGTGGAGAAAATAATAAATAGTCTGAGTACCTACAGGCTAGTGCGGGTAGTATGCGTTTGGTTCAATTCGCCTCCTAAGTGCATTTCGCTTTCAAATTCTTGGCTCAAGTTATGTGGGACACTCTGTACACTCAATCGCAGTGCGTTAACAGTTATGTTTCACTTGTAACATTGACATTTTTAAATGCGACGCATCTTACGGTCGAGCTCAATTCGATGTGCGGCATGACCACCCTTATTGCAGATGCACGTACCCTCCCCCTCTCTTTTCTCTCCTACGCTCCCCCCGCGTCTCTCGCCTCGCAACGCCAAGCGTCTGCTAGCGAGCTTCTTGATTGAAAAAAAAAACTGACTGCTGCTCGCCCTGCACAACCGTTCGCTGGCCATCCCGTATAAATGGGCACTGTATCTTGGCCTCCAAGGTAGTGCTGGTGGGAGATTTCTCTTATTCATTGTTGAACAATAACAATTCGCAGCGTGCACGTTAACTAAGAGAGGACTGCGGGTATCTGTGTCCAATCGGAGTCAGCTGTCTCTCATCGCCCATTAGCAGCTATTGACATGTTCTAGCATAAGAAACACCGGTGCATCACTTGTGCTTTGCTTGCATTCCCCCCCCCCCCCCCAGGTTTCTCTCCTATGCAACGCCGTGATGAGCACCAGCATCAATGCCGCCACAGTAGGCGTTAGCACCCGCTGCTTCGCATCTATGGTTCCCTTTAGCAGAGATGGTGTAATTTTTTTGCCTTTTAAGTCGCCTTTTTTATTTTTAAACTTGAAACAAGTACGGCTCTTTTAGCGATTAGAATACGGTTTTAAAGCTTGAGTGATAACAATTACTTTGCATATCAGGGTGCTATCGCCCAGAACCACGCACAAAAACGTTGAAAGTGCTGTCAGTGTAGATCCATGAACTCTAATAAATATTTATACTTCGTATTGGTTATGCTGAGAAAAACACTCAACGAGAAACTGCTAACGTTGCTTCGCCACCCGAATTTCGCCTTTGCATACTTTTAGGGCGTTGCAAACTTATTATGCTGCCATAAGATATCTTAAGAGTAGTCCTTGTCGAAACGTTGGCTTCAGCGACACTTCTTGCTGGGCGGTTTGTCAACATACCTCATATAGGATCACGCATAGAAAACGAGAATGAAACAGAAACGCCAGAATTGACAGAACATGCCGCCTAGTGAACATGACCAAGTTGTATGCTCATTTTGAACGATTCTGCCATCGGCTCAATCCAATTAATAAAGTTTATTCGTTCTACTCTGTGCATTTTTTGTTTTTAATGCACGGCTACCATGACCTATCATGACTAACCAACTCGTCATTTTTATGTCCTAGGTTATATCTTTTAGGTTATAACTTTTATGTCGTAGAACGTATTGCCCACTGTCTGCCATGTACAAAAGAAACTATACATTTATATAAATGGCAGTATTAAGCGTGCATCTCCCTAAATATTACCAATAGAAAATTTTAGGGGAGGGGGCCTCTGGTCGTTGGGGTCCCCGTGTTCTTTTTATACCTTCCTCGCTTTCTTCCGCCCGTCATCCGACCCCAAGAAGAGTACAACGAAACGCAATCAGGGGCGTATGCAGAATTTTTTTTTTCGGCGAGGAGGGGCACCTTCTTGATTTCGAGGGTGGGGGGGGGGGCATCTTTTCAAAATGGCCATTTTTCGCTCTGTAGGCATACCGAAAAATTTGCGGGGGGGGGGGGGAGCACGGCCTGGTGGGCCACCCCCTGGCTACTCTGAACACAATGACTTGCGTGCCCAATATCTTACATCTTTTGTACTATCCTTGCGGGCAAGGACGTGGATAGGACACTTAAGAAGACAAAAGCTAGGAGACCCAATGGTTAAAGCTGCCTAGCACTAATAATTCCTGCTGTTAGAATCCCTTTATACATGCAGAAGTTTGCTTTGAGAAACAAAACTACGTGTCACGTGCTGTTTGGCTTGCACAGTTAAATATGGTACACATAAGAGCAGCGAGATTGTTATGTTACCATAAAAACAAGAAATATGAACCTGTGACTGAGTGCCTTACTTGGGCTGGCTGGTCATGACTGCGGCTGCCATTTCGTTCTCGATATCGGTGCTGCTCTCCGAGGGTTGGTTCATCACGGACGGTTTTTCTGGAGCAGTCGGCTTCACATTCCCAAGGAGAAATTGGTAGGCAGTGGTCTCTGAGCACAAAAACAAAAACAACAAAGCGTTCAGTTCTGTATGCCAGTCAAGAGTTGTGGTGCAGATGTAATTTGCACAAAAATAACGAAGGCTCGCGAATTCTAATTAACCTTGGAATCTAAACAATGGGATGCTTAACAGTACGCTATGATGGGCCAGATTCATTGTGGTGGCAAGTTAACAGCTGTAACATTAGTAACATTTCCCGGTAAGCTAGTTGGTGACGCATATTTCGCAGGTAAAACAGCGTAAACGTAACAAGACACAAAGAACACACAGGACCGAGTGCTGACTTGAACTAGGTTAAGTGAACTAGGTTATTTGAACTAGATTAGTTACACTAGGTTAGTTGCACTAGGCTAGTTTCACTGGGTCAGTTGCACAAGGCTAGTCAGAAGCCCCATCTTTGTCTTCTTTGTGTCTTGTTACATTTGTGTTTTTTTTTTACATAGGAAATAAGATGCAACGTTCATTCCGTTTTATCGGCTGTATCTGCCAGTCGTTTTGGTCGTCGCGCCTCGGGGACAAGGGTGATATGCGACGCTTGTATAAGGAAGAATGTTTATGGCAGTTGTATGTGTCACAAATGATTTAATAAGTACATTTAAAGGTTCCACACCCATTGCTTGATAACTGGACATAAATGTAACTGTCCCGCATAGCCCTTAAGTGACAGTTACATATATCATGCATGTCACGGAAGAAAAATCTCATGTCCTGGTCACGAGAAGTTCAACATGCAGGATCTCCACAATCGAAAGATAGAGATAGAAAGAAACATGAAGCCCAAGCAGGCTAACACCTGCGAGTATCCGATTTGCGGCCCTGCACTGGGGTAAGAAAAACGCATGTAAACGAAGAATAACCTTCGTAAACGAAGAATAGGTACATTTCAATGTACGTGATACTCGACCATAAACGACACAATGACACAATAGTCACAGAGGAACGAGCAAAAGGAGCACTTTTGTCACTTTTGAAAGGAATCATTTCTGTTTATGCAAACATACACAGCACATAGTCTTTCTGATCCGGTCTACAATTAGCATCAGTTTGTTATGCACTCCGCCGGTGTTCTTTCCTCTTTGTCAATTGGTGAATAAAAGAAATATTTCGCAGAGACGACATGGAAGAGAACAACTACAGGCAGAAATAATTATTTATTTATTCTATTTTGCCACAAGCTACAACTGCAAAATTGAAGCCATCTCATATGAAGTAATATCTTATTGCATTTGCGGAACGGCATTGGTATGGCTCCTACGTTCGTGGCCCGGCATACAAGCAGTGAGTATGTATTACCTTGCGGTAGAATGTCCTTGTCGAAAAAGCTGTCCTCGCTGTTGTCGTTCGAATGGCCTTTCCCTTTGCCTGCGTTTGATGCGAAGAATTATTATCACTCCCAGCGCAAACCATTCTCTATAACTATATTACGGTAAAAAGTGATCAGTACGATAATCTTAGTCTTTTAATACACACGGACAAGGCTTGAGTGTTTTTTTTTTTGTTAGTTCGTTCCCGCAGCACCTACAATTATTTCTACATAAAGACTGACCAAGTAGAGCTTGTTATCACTGCACCTAATTGTGTTTTCTCTGATACATGCCTTCCGATTTCCGAGAGACTATAAATTCTCGCCCATTACGCAGGCCGTTACAGAATGTAGGAGTCGAAGAAAAGGTGGGAGATTAAGCTATAATTATCCTGCGTAAGTTGCCCCTACCTATGATTTATTTCACAGCAGCGTGAAACTATAATATTATGACTGAGGAATAAAGTGAACGAATTAACCCACGCGAAGCAACTGTATTCGTTTAATCTATCTTGCAGTTATGTGTCGAGTATCATCGCATGCTTAACGTGACGGAACAAGAACTAGTCGGGTCGCAAACCATCCTGCAAGTCACATAGCTGCGTCACTATATCATAACTAGCGGGGGAAAGGAGGACACAGCTAATTATGAAAGAGTTAGGAGTAGCCCCGCCAACATTTGCAAATAGGCACACTATTTTCATGGTCATTGTAGAAGATTCGCTGAACATAGTATGTAGTTTGTCCGTGACATTCACATGAAATGATCCTAAATAAAACCATGCATGGCTATACCCCCATTAATGTGTTTAAAACTCCTTGCTCTAGAAACTCAATTATTATCTTCGTGATAACGTAGGTGCACCTCTGTGTCAGTCATCACAGTATCCAACATTATAGCGTAATTTTGTGTACAAAAAATAGTGGACTGCCCCAAACTGGGTCCTATGCCACCAGAAAAAGAAGATGAAGTTCTGCTTTAGGAAGTGTTTCAGTGTTAACGGGCCTTCCAAAAACTTAATGGACGCTTGAGCTTCATCTTCAAGGCAAGTTCGCTTCCCATGCACTTTGCCTTCTCAATAGCTATCTTGACTTCGGTTCACGGTGCATATCTTAGTCGTGCCGCAAGGAAACAGGCGTCTGTGTGCGTAACACTGGCCGCTTCAAACTATCCTAGAATGCCTAATGCAAGTATACAGTTGCGCAGTGCCCACCACGCCATATTTCTTCCTTTTGCGAATCATCGGAAGCCCAACTACGCGTCCGCAAGGCAACACACAAGCGTACGAAATTGCTCAATTTGTTGATGCTCCTGCTGCTGATGATTATAAAATATGTCTGGTCGCTTTGTAATGAGTGGAGCTTTAAACCACTCACTCATGGTGCAATTCGCATATTTAACATCAGGAGTGATCCTACGCTTCTCCTACCAATATTAAGCGCGTTAAGGAGTATCCTTCTGCTATACATAACAATATTATAGTGTTTTTGTTTTTGCGAATCAGTTACAAGCTATGACATGGCTATGTGGTAGAAACCTGGCTGCATAACACGCTAAAGACCCACCGAGTTTATTTCCAGTTTGAACTTTTTCTTTAATTTTATTTTCACTGTTCTCAATTTTTAAGCCATGGACATCACTGATTTTTTCTTCACAACCAATGACACTGCCAACGAAATTTGTGTGAAGCAAGCTCTTTAACTGCATCGCATTAATACGATGGTAAAGGCTCACGTGTGTCTCGCGTATCAACATCCACAAAGAAGGTTCCTTAATTCTCTAGTTTATTTCAACGTCCACACTGAATGATACCGGGGACGATGCATGGTACTGTTAGAGAACTGCCGATTCAACGAAATACAGATGCGAAAATGTTTACCGCTCGGTGCCTCCTTGGGACTGTTAAGCGACGAGCATTTGCTACTGGAACTACTCGAGCTGCTCAGGCTTCTAGACTTCTGGCGAGATTTGCTCTTCGACTTCTCAGTCGACCTTTTTGGCGCCTCTCCGGATTTCGAGTTTGTGGACTTGGTCTCATGGTGATCGGTCTGTTGTTCCTCGCTGCCGGGCAGCGCCATGCGCTCGGAGTGACCTGCCAGGTGGCGTGACTCTACGAGGGCAGCCGGCACGCTTCTTCTCTCATTGCGGTGTCCCGAGGAATCCATCTCCAGAAGCTGTCCCTCACTACCGCTTCTTATGAGCGTGTCCGTACCCGACTGTCGCTTCCAGGAGACGTGAGCCTGCTCGGCTGGCAGCTGAAGCGTCGAGTCCTGAACCCGCCCGCCCTTGTCTCTTCCCTCCCGCGAAGCGTCCTCCTGCTTGCTGTCACTCATCTGCTGCTGTTCTCCACAGGACACTGACCAATCACTGTCCTTCCCACGACCCGTGTCAGTGGCCTCGCTCCTCTCAGAGGCATCACGTGCCCCCGGTTTCACGTCACTACGGTCAGACTGCGACTCGTGAGCTGTCGTTCGGGTGTGCTCTCTCACTTTCCTGCTTGACCGCTCGGACTCATGCGCATCCTTCGCCGTCCTCGATGCACTGGGAGTAGACTTGTTCAGCTCCGTGCCGCCGCCGTTTGACGGCCGTCTCGACATAGCGGCGTTCCGTGGCGCAGGGTGCGGTTGTGCTTCTCGAGATGACGGGGTAGCTTCGCGGCTGGCCTTTCTCCTCGACTGCTTGAACGATCCCTGCTTTTTTAGGGGAGGCCCACTGTCCTGCCCTTCCCTGGAGCGGCTCGCTGCAGCCTGCCCACCGTGACTTTTGCTCGGCTTACGTAGGCGCACCGTGGGTATCGACTTCGGATCGTGCCGACCTTCATCCGTGTCTCCCTGATGGAAGCTGTCTCCGCTCGTGTCACTGTCCGCTGCTTTCTTCGAGTCTCCGGCGTGATGCTCCGGCTGCTGATACGTTTTGCCAGTTGCCGCGGCGTCCGAGAGGAGCACTTCTGTCGTGTGATTTATGAAGACGCCTTCAAGGTCTGGTGGCTTGGTAGACGGCCCCATGCGCCTCCTTGCCGCGGGTGGTGACTCGTTGCTCGGAATGTAGTCCGAGAATTGGCTCATGCGCGAAGGCATCTGTTGCTGATGGTGGTAGTGCTGCTGTTGTCGATGCTTCTGTTGCTGCTGCTGTTGTTGTTGATGCTTCTGCTGTTTTGTTGGTGACGCCATGTCCTTGGTGACCTGCTGCCTATTGTCTTCTTCCTCAGCGGCCATTGGCCTCACTGTTTTTCTGTCCAACGCGCTCGTAGTGCGAAAGAAATCGGCACTGTCCGGCATCCAGTATACTGAAGGTTCAAGTAAGGATCCACCACTATTTTTGGCGAAGTGGTTGAACCACGGCTCGCTCGTCTCGCCGTCAGGGTATCGCGGGCGTCTGTCAGGGCTACTGATCTGTTCTTTTGTCGCTGGGTGTGGCGACGGGGCCCTAGGTTGGTGGTGGACAGGGGGCACCGATGCTCCCGTAGGTGAACGTGGAGGCTTCCAGCGTTCGGGTGTCTGGGTGCGCGATAGCAAGAGAGGACCTTCACGGGGCACCCAGGGAGGAGTCGACAAGCCGAATAATATTGGGTCGGGGATGTACTCGGGAGGACTGTACTCGGATGCCTGCGATACAAGACAAGGTGACGGTAAAGAAAACAAGCAGGCTTCGTCGTAGATGTGTACGAAACTTTGCTGTAAGGCCCCTACTTTGTTACTTCGACTGTCCATAAACGATGTGCAACTCATCCGTAGCGATAAAAGGGCATTTTACCATTCGTAAAACTAGTCACTTTTAAAGCAAAGCAATTTAAATATTAATGCACTCCTCACCAAAGATACGCTTCACACAAGTTGTCTGAGCCATATTATCCTGCCCTACAGTTCTACCCTCCAAGTTCCGCCTGCATTTATTAATCATGCAAATATACACGCAGCAGCATGTCATTCGTTTTATTAAATAGCAGCGCGAAACAAACACGTCTGCAGAAGCCACTCCCAGAACCATCATCACAGAGTTTTAATTGGCATGCTGGTGACAACTGTCTTGATCTCGGAGATAATTTAAGTGAGATCAATAGTGACGACAACAATCCGTCAAGCATTTAAAGTTGGATGCTGATGTAATTACATGTAGCTCTTAACATGCAAAAGCGCAGCATGCGCTGCGTGCGCGCGATAACGAAATGTATTAGTTCTAATAAGAAACAATACACTTGATGACAGGGAGACCTACTTACATCAAATCAGCGATTAACACGACACCACAACGCTTTGTGTGGATGTCTTTTTTTCCCGCAATGTCTACGAGAAACGGCTTGCGTTCTCATGCATATCTAATTCATTTCACTCGGCAATGTTAGGTTATAGATATGCGTGAGTGGGCCAATTAGCTAATCCACCAACCGGAACTTACGCCTGGAGTGACTGCAGTAACTACAATGCTTAGTCCTCAAAAGCATATGTGTGCGCACGGGGGAGAAGGGAATGGGAGCCCCCTTCCCACTTTTAGTGGCCTGAAAAGGGAGACACAGAATTTGCCTTATACTTTCTCAGTAGGGGGTGGGCGCTGCGACTAACTTCCCCCTGCCCCCCTTTACAGGGAATGCTGCACACGCCAATGCTCAAAAAATATAACATGTCACTATAGAAATCAACAGTTGAATTGTTAAAGTCGCGCGATAACTTGCCACGCTTTACCTTCGTAGGCTGGTTGTAGTCGTATCTGTAGCTCATCTCTTCAGGGCTCAGGTAACGTTCCCGGATCAACTCTGAAAAGTTTTCCTGTAAAGCGAATAGTTTACCAGGGAAGCATAAATGAACAACTTGATCAAACTAGGACTAGATTCATACGCTAGTGGAATAAGTTAAATCGCCTTTCGTGAGCGATACCCTATGCCCACGAGCGGGCTTAAAAGAGACATGACACAGAGAAGACTGCGTAAAGCTGGCGAACAGTCGGCCCAAAGAATAGCTACAACGGATCCGTTACCTGTTATACAGAGAGCATGGCATGTTCAGGTACTTCATCCAAAAAGGTTATTAGCCGATTCTTTTCAAAAATGGTTGCTCTCGCGCTAAATATGTAAAAGCAAAAATGTCGAGACTTTCTTTTGACGTTGAACTTCGGGCAAAATAGATGGCAAATATTATATTGTTTTTTTATTTTCTTCTACAATTAAGTAAATTTTGTTTTTTGTAGAAAAAAATGATGTTGAGTTAAATAAAAGTCTCTTCACGAGACGAAAATGGCTTAGCACCCCCATTCATTGTGCTTTCAGTCCCAACAAGAGAACCAAGTACCCCCCCCCCCCCTCCCCCATTTGCACTCCATAACGTCGAAAATTACGCCACGCCAAACAGCAAACGTAGGCATGAAACTAGAAAAAAAATAACCTGAACCTACTTTCCGGCTGTCATGTCTGTCGTCAGTGACCACACCGACTATTTTTTCATTCATCTTTCAGTCCTATAGTCGTTACCCACCCACATTTCCATCAGGAACGAATTTATTCCGTAATTCTCGGTGCGTAACAGTCGTCGAACAAGCGCTTTGTACGGACGACACGGCGCTGAAAGACATCGACGCCCGTCATACAGTGCGTTGCTGGAAGCTACCGTGCGCTCAGTACCACTAATAACGCGAAACATCTAGTTCGCTCCATCGCAATACGGTTCCGCGTTGTCTGTCACGACTTTACGTTGTGCCGTCTGACATACTTTTTTTTTCTCTCAAGAGGTAGTGGCGCTACTGCACGAGTCCGGTTTGTTAGCTACGAACATGCGTTAGTGATTAGTCCCAATGACTGCCCAAAGCCACAACGCAGTTAACCTACTTGGAGCTGACGAAACATAGCTGGGAT